CCTTAACAACTGACGGCTCTCCACATCGCTGACATTTGTACAGTCTCGCTAACATATTCACTACAAGGCATCTTTCTTTACCATTTTTTTCTTTACACTCAGCTAATGACTTATACAGGCACTTTATCTCATCTGAAATGGCATCAGCTGTGTTCATATTCTGAGCCTCAGCCTACTATAACGCAAACTACAGAATGTACAAGTTTTAGCACAAGCAACTATTTTATTTTCAATCAGCTTGTACATATCTAAAATAGAGAGAGAGAGAGAGAGAGAGAGAGAGAGAGACGAAAAAGGGAGCTCACACACACTAGGCCTCGGTTAGCTGTACATCTTCTTTTCCTACTGCCTTCTAGGAGGTATATGAGGACTGAACTCCAATTCTCCTTTCTGCAAGTACTAAATTATTAATCATAGCTTGTAAATACAAAATAATAAAACAAAATTTGAGAAACTTAACGCTAAATGGCACTTAAATACCCTATTGTTTCACCATGTTTACACTTAAATACCCTAAGTTGTAAAAAGTAGCGAATAAATACCCTAAGCTATCTACCATTAGAATATAGTAAACGCCGTTAAGAAAACATGTTATGACAAAAAAGACCCTCCATAGAAATGAAGGTAGAGTTTAATAAAAAGATGGGATGCTAAGTATAGCAATAAATATGACAATAAACGGGGTCAATACAATTACAAAAATGTTATGCCCTAATCATATGGGAATATTCCTCCGAATATTCTCATGTGCGACTAACAAAACGTACTAACGTACCATTTTTAGGTCATTAAAGTGCTAGAATTATACAACTTTGGGTATTGAAGTGTCACTTCTTACAGCTTTAGGGTACTAAAGTGAAAAGGTAATGAAAGGCAACAGGGTATTTAAGTGCCATTTTCGTGTCCTTTTTTGCACAAAAAGAGCTAGAATAATAGGTGTACATACCTCCGGCTGCGACAAGTTTCTCTACACGTGCAACTATATGCTTTCCGTAAGTGTATTTCTTCAATGCATTCAGGTGGACCTTTATTCGCGAAAGGATCAATTCCCTTTGCTGATCATTGCATGTTTCCAGAACTTTCTGTACAACATAATTAGCAAACTGATCTTTCATCATAGCCTGCACAGAGACCCACCACTTCCATCAGCAGTTAAGTATAACAGTGCACTTTTAAGGTTCAAAACTTGAATGTAAATAGCAGGTATTTATCACTACAGCCTCAAATTTTAAACCTGTTTGACCAGTACAAATATATAGCCCGCAGTTCAGTAAAATATTTAGACCTACATTTCATCAGCATTTAGAGGAATCCAGCAGTTATATCTCGAGAGAATGTTTAATTGAAAACAAATGCCAACCTATCATCATCAACTTCATGCAGAACAAATTTATTATGATGAGACAAAGAACATTTCTTGACTGAAGCGATAGTAAGCTAAATCGTGTACATGTAAGTGCACGATAGGTCTGCAAACAGTGCAGATCCGAAAATAGATAAATGAACAAAGCAGCAAGTAACCAAATAAAACAAATGCCTTTCAGTTGAAGAGTTTGTCGCCCATTTTCTTAGAATAAGGAAGATACAGAATTATTAAAGAACCTGCAAAAGACTGGATAGAAGAATCAATCATACCTGAAGGGGCTCATTTTCATCAGTTGTCCCAAGCATCTCATTGACCAAAATCTGACGTTCATCTGGACCACCAAAGGTTAAACACTTCTCAACAACATTTGAAGCAAACTTTTGTTGACTCATTTGAACTATCTGGCCAGCTAATTTTGTGATGATAGCAGATCGCTCATGAGGCTTTCCATGCTCCAGCACATGCTGTTTCAATATGAGCACTGTCATAAAACTTTCCTAAAAACATAGTTAATCAATGCGCATATGAACCTCAAATATACAAACAAGAGGTAGGTAACAAAGGCATATAGAACTAGAACAAGAGCATCTACCAACATTACCAGCACAGGTAACATAAGCAGTGTGCATACTACACATATTTGGAGTGATCCTAAATCCGGAATTCTTAGAAATCTGTCCACCTTTCTACATCGACAATTATGCTATCTAGAATCAATACTTAGCATTATCATATAGCTAAAACAGCCTTATTTGTAATTTGTAAATTCCCAAAGCAGGCCAACTTATTTTCGCTCCTCCTATCTTTCCTTGCACTAATCTGTTTCCACACAGACTGCACACAATATGGAAGTTCTCAAACTTATGAAGTTGTATGCATAATGATCACCCACAGACGACTCATTTCTACCTTAGTTTAGTACAGAAATAAAAACAGAACCGTTGTATTAGAGTGATCTTACATTTCAGTGTCTGTACTTCTTGAAGTTTGGAAATGACCTAGACCGTCACTATTATCATCAGTTACTTAAAAGTATATAGCCTATACTTGTTGCATACAGACTGCATACAATATGGAAGTTCTCCAAAATTTGGAGTTGCATGCAATATGTTCACCCACAGAAGACTCATGTCTACCTTACTCTTGCACAGAATTAGAAACAGAATCGTTTTATAAGAGCGATGACACATTTCAGTATTTTTAGAGTTTGGAAATGGCCTAGATCATAACTATTATCATTAATTACAAGTATATACCCTCAATTACAAGTGTATACCCTATATTACTGGAATAACATTTTATTTAGAAAAACACAGAAATTTAGAAAGTACAAATTATGGGATATAGCCTTCTATATGAGTCTATTGTCTTCTTGCAACCAATAACAGATAAAATTTAGAAACTTCGACCAGTTCTCAGGTAAATTGTTGTCACCAAGTAACAGTCAAGAAGCTAGATTGCATGTAAGGTGCATTCACTAGCTTGATTCATAATAGTCCCACGTCAACTATTATTAACTTATGAAGTTTGCATGTCCCAGACTCCTAGTAGGTAATAAGTGTCAGGAATCAACTGATGGTATAGGAACCTTTGAAGACTGACCTGAACAACATAATTGCCATACTGGTCTTGCGCCAGCATGCAGACACTTAGCAAAATCTCATCCATCATGATCTGCTGAGTTTTTGGATCATCACAATGTTCCAGTACTCGCTGCATTAACCAGAAAAATTCATCAAGTCAATTATTTTTTTTCATAATGAAACATGCACCCAATCATTCACATGTAAATGAAAATTAAAGACAAAATAAGTTCATTTAGTACATGAAATCTAGCCTGATATATATGAACCTATGCATCTGCAAGTATGAACTTAGAAATTTAGTGATTCAAACCTGTATGACACGACAACCATATGGATGGGTAGATAAAGTTACGACTTGATTGTAGAAGGATGAGACAATAAAATGAATGACATCCTGAGGGATACACTCGATGCATTTTTGAATAACATGATTCCCATTCTGATCACGCACACAACGCATGATATGGCCATCAAGCTCTCCTACCATTTTTGTCTGTTGATCCAAATCAACAACTTCTATTGCCTGCACCGACCAGGACATGTATATTAGGTAAGATCAGACATGCAAAAGCTAAACAATGCCAAAAGAATAATGGTGGGTACAAATTATACCGGTATCATTAAAGAAGAAAATTTGGGATCAGAATAACAATAAGGAAAATAGGAGTTAACAATACTTTTAAATATGCTCATGAAAATCGTAGAGTTGTTCTATAATTCAACTGTTACACTAAAAAAAGGGAGCTCAGAGTGCGAAGTAATTTTCTCCACTTTCAAACCATTTGAAGTAGTGACCGCTGAGTTTTACTTGTGAGAGCTGTGATAAACTCATTTACTTGGCTAGTTAGATATCCTTCCCTTACAGGGGAAGGGTATAAAAATATGCAGGAAGTACAAAGCTAAAACATTTGTACCTTCTGGATCACTCGACAGCCATACATTTGAAGGCTGAGTGTTAATACATGCCCATTAAGCTGATCAGCCAATTCTCTTCTCTGAGCAGCAGATCCATGCTCGAAAAACTGCAAAAAAGCTAGCAGTCAGTGACCGAAATGAACAAACCCGTAAGGGTTTATTGCAAGCAAGCATTCAATATTACATTGCAAGTAGAATCAAGATACCTTTTGAATCACGTAATTCCCAAATACATCCGTCATCAAGGAGAATGCATGAGGCATGATTTCATCATAAACCATGTCTTTTTCTGCAGTTGATGCAGTTTCAAGCTTTTGCTGAATGAATCGGCTCCCATACTGGTCAGCACTGGAATCAAACACCAAAAAAAAAACAAGTATATATAAAGGATTTTACGACAGAAAGGTTCAAAGATGGCAACAATATCAGTCAAGTATTGAGATGTTAGTTGTTAACTCATACATCCAAATACCAAGGACAATGTAAGTGGTAGCTATAGCCATTAAGGAGTAAAATCAGAACATAAAAGCACAGAGATCGTAATGCCTGCATATTTTTCATTTCTACCTGAACTCAACAACATGGCCTGCAATATCAGAAAGCTCATAACTTTTTGTCTTGTTGCTCTTGAATTCCTCTAGAAGTGATGATGCAAAGCTGTCATGGATGTTGCCTCCAGCATCTGAATGCCAGCCTCCAGCTAAGTTTCTCATGCCAGAAGGAAAACGCATACTGCGCTCACCAAGCCTAAGAGGGCTGCCAGGTCCACCAGGGGAACCAGGAAGAACAGGGCTTGCCAAAGGACTTCCTGGATAAGTCATGCCAAAACCAAAAGCAGGATTTCCATAATAACCATGATTCAGACCGGTAGATTTACCGATAAAGGGCATACCATACTGTTTTTGTGGTGGAAGCAAAGACCCAAGGTACTGTTTCTGGATTGCAAGCAAATCTAAATATGAGTTGCTGCCCATATAACCTTGATCAGAGGAAGGATCACCAAAATTACTAGCAAGATGCTCTGCTGATCTCAAGTATTGAACATAAAGGGGATCAGCAAGCGGCATCTGAAGCGTAGCTGCTGCGCCAATTTTGTTGAGATTTTGCAGATCTCCAGCTCCATTCAGGTTTTGCCCCAAAGAAAAACCTCCCATCACCCTAGAGTCCATACCAGGTGAACCTATCGGAGATGCAAGTGCAGCATTTTCAAAAAGAGGATGAAAGTTACCCATGCCAATATGATTTGCCATCATTGGAGGTGAGGCTAGATCAATGGAATAACCACTCAGTCCATAACCTGTAAAATCTGCACCGACGCTGTTAATATTTTTATAATGAGCAGGGGAGCCACCTGGACTGCCAAGAAAAGAAGCAGAAGCGGCTTTCGAATATGAGTTGGCAGGAGAAAGAGTAGTCCTCTGGAGTTCAACTTGCCCATTTGACCTCATAGTTGAACTGTTTCGGTCCCCTAGTCCTCCAGAATTCCTAGCCAAGTCAGAGTATGAAGTCCTTGTTGATTGAGAATTAGATAGCACGTTTAAATGTGTCTTTTCAGAAGGTTTCAAGAAATTATTCTGCTTAACCTGGTTTTGTCCACCTTGCATTCCAAAGAGAAAATTCTGGTGTTCCTCAATTTCCTCTTGGAGTTTTGACTGAGTAATGAAGTCATCCTCTATAGGTTCAACAGTTGACAAGTTCATTCCGGACAAAGCAGACACTAGATCATCTGATTCCATTATACCTGATGACGTCCTGTTGAAAGAGTGAGAGCCATTATTATTTTTCATGTTACTGTTGCTAATCCTCGTGCCTACAGGTGGAAGACAAGGACTAGGAGTCCTTGCCACTAGCTGCGCATCAGGAGTATTACTTCTTGAAAGAGATGAACCCAAAACCGAGGCAAATGTTTGAGATGCAGACAGACTATTTTTTTGAACACCACCCACAGTTTGGACATTGCCACCAGGACAAAGGCTATCAACAGGTCCAATCTCAGGACGGAAACTCATCTGACATTCAGAAGAGCGTAATGGTTCGACGCAGTTGTCAAAAGCATTGCGACTTGAGGGGCGAGACGGAGGGCGCAAGATGGAATTTGATTGACCCAGGTCATCCTGAAGTAGCCAAGTTTCAGCAATAATTTACAAGAGAAAGCATTAAATTCTCAATGGCACTTCATGTCAATGGAAATTTGTGAAATAAACAAAAAGAACAAAGAACAAAACTGATGGATATGCTAAAGATCTTAGGACAGTCCTGAAGTATTAATGAGGAAACAGATGCATCAGGGGTCTTCCATGACCAAATTAAGAAAGATAAGGAACTCTGTGTAGCAAGTGGATGTTAGAAACTAGAACTCAAAATGACAGTAACAGCAACTATTTCCCAAATGGTTTTACTCATGGAATCAAGAATTCTCAACATGCGTGAAGAAGGAAATCAGATTACGGATTCATCAAGGGTCATATTTGCAATGCAGATAACTATTGTTTCTGGTCTAAATTCAAATATAAGAAAAAAACGTAAGCAAGAATCACCCAAAATTTTCGAGCTACCTAAATTTCTGTGCATCATGCAATCAGGGTTGAAGTCAAACCTTTAACACTATATGACTTTTGTCGATGTTGTAACAGAAGCTCAGGAAACAGAATCCTAGGTGAACCAATAACCAACCAACAACAACAAAGTTATGGCCAGCTTAAGACACAATTTAAAGCTTTTTTAGCACTTTTCACTTGATGACTGAGACTTCAAATATGTATGTTAGAATTAATATAAAACTATAATCCTCAACCATCACCACTACTTTGGAGTTTTGGTGTAACGGTTAGGGACTTTGACATGATATCAAACAACTCAGGTTCACATCCCACTGACCACAAATTTAAAGCGGATTAAAAAAAATTCACACCGCTGCGTGAATCCAAGTTTCAGCCGACAAAAAAGGCGCTCAACCTGCAGGGTACCCTCACCATAACTTTGAAGTTTTGGTATAATGATTAGGAACTTTGGCAAGGTATGTGTACTTACAGTTCATATTACAAACATTACCAACTAATTAAAATTATAGGGATATAAAAATCACAGACTCAACATGTGAATCAGGAAATGTTCATAGATAACAAAACAGTTATGTAGTCATGAAGGATTAAAGAAAGTTAGCACATGCAAACATGCACTCCTTACTAAAAATGAATGAATCGAACAGAAAGCAAAACTATGGAACTTAGAAAGAAATGTGTTGGATCTGATCAGAGCTCACCTTCCTACTCCTTTGTGCAGTAGGTCTGTTCTTTTAGTTAACCATAAATGCAATAATGCATTCCTAATCAGAGTAATTAGAAGCCAGCCGTCTAATACAGCTATTTTAAAATCTGTTGGTAATTTAATGTACTAATTAGTGGGAAAAGGTGTCATGTTGGCTATTTCATGTACGAATAATGGAGAGGTTCAGACGTAGGCTTAAGAGAATCTAGATGAAAACAATTAGGAAGGATTCCATAACTGACCACAAGAAAAAAGCTTCATTATTTTTTGGAAGAAATCTTAGCTTGTTATAGCTTACCACGGATAAAGTTTCTAAGTTTAAATTATATATGAAGGACTAGAACTATCATAGTTATAATTTGAACACGAGTACTATCCAATATGACATGGGTATTACTGTGCCCCAAGCAGAATGAGAGAATTAAAAATAGATTTGAAGAAAAACACTGAGTCCTACAAATAAAGGTGCCCATATCCTATTAAGTTCGTTGACCTAGCAGGCAATACATAAGAGAAAAGTTTCTTTGCTCGGGGTATTATTTATTTTCTTGCCTCTGCTCCTATAGACTGGTTACAGCAATCATGCAACAATACCACATATCGGATGATATGCAAGTGGAACAGCTGAAAGAAAGGGATTGAAAATACATCCAATGGATTACTAATGAGCATGCAGAAGAAGTAAGCCCTTAAATGTTTCAATTTAATAGTCATAATGAGGAAAAGATGTTTACGACATTAAAATTTTGAAATCAGACAATGATATGTCTCAGATGGAGACCCTTGGCTTTACAGGAATTTAAACTTCATGGACAGAGACCCTAGACATAGTTTTAAACCCAAAACTACATGCACATCCAGCAACAGCAATGTCACAAAACAAAGCAACGAACAGAATCACGTAAAAAACAACAACGAGCAACACTTTAACCTTATGATATATAGTAGAAGGCAGAAATGAAATAGAAAAATAAACATCAACCATAAAAAGCGATTTAGTTTATCCAGCTCCGTATGAAAATCAATAGGCACAAATTTTCCCCTACTAGACGTTATGATAAAATATTAAAAAGCGAAAAATGAAAATAAGTAATAAACCATAAAAAAGACAGATTTACCGCATTCACGTCTATTTGAAATGGTTCACGTGCAAATGCAACTAAACAAAATAAAGATCCTACAAAACCAATCCGAACAGAGTTCGACAACATTAAAGTTGTGGGAGGAGAAGAAAAAAAATCAAATTTTGGCCTCTTGCCATCACGTTCCTCATAACAAAAAAACACATAAGAGGACATTATTCCACAATCTAATGCAAGACACCATCCAAATAAAAGAATTAGAGAAGAATAACAATGTCAGTCAACAATAAGCAATAAAGATCAACCCCTCATTGGGCACAGGAAAGATCATATTTTGATGTAACCAAAAGTTTAGACAACAAATAAGAATAATCATTGCCAGTGTATATCACCTGAAAGAGATCAGCAAAACTCTTCTGTCGACCAAGCGATAACCCAATCAACCCATCGCCTTTCCTTATCCCGCCACTCTGCCTTCTCTTCTATGTTTGGCTTAAACACGGGTTGCGTCGAGAACCGTGAGCCGCTCCCCTCGCCATTATCTACTGTATTATTACTCTTCCGAGTTCTCGAGCTCCCAACAGCTTGAAGCCTCTGAGCAAACCTCCAATCCTCTTTCGACATCACCGGAGGCGGCAACCTAGGGTTCAAATTCACATTGGAATAGTAATACGAAAGGTAAGCTGGATCAGATCGGAGCTCCTCCTCGGTCAACAGCTCGTTCTTGATCCCGTCGATCGCGTTCAGTGATCCTTCGACCGTTGGAGGGCAAGAACCGCTTCGGTACATGTTCAGCTCCCGCTCTCTTTCTCGATCGATGGATTCCTGCCTCCTCTGCTCTCGAAGAAGCAGCCCTAAGTCCTCGGCATTAAACCCTTCGCTACCGTTTCCGATCAGCATTTTCATCGAACCTCTCTCAGTTACCATCCCAAAAATAGAAAGGAAACGATGAAGAAAGAAGAATCTATAAAGAGTAAAGAGACGGTTAGTATAGAAAGCGGCCCAGGAGCCGGAACAAACCAGGCTTAATTCGAACAAAATCGTACCTTTTCCAGCTCAATCCATGGATTCAACCAGAAACCGGCAGCTGACACCGAAATCGATTACAAATCAATAGGAGGAAGCAAAAAGGAGAGATCTTTTCAGCGATTTCAGCTCAGAATGTCGGCGATCGGCGATCGATTTCGCCATTAGAAGGGAAGCAGCAATAAAGAGTGTATAGAGGAGAAAGGGGAACAGTGACTGAACTGAGACAGCGAGAGGAGGTTGATAAGCAAGGCAGTCTAGCGATCTCATCCGTTGGATCGAGAAACGACCGGTCGAGATTGATCCAGGACGTAGATTTGTTCTGGCAAGAATTGTTAGGGTTTTTATTGCAGGATTTAGAGGAGGGTTAGGGGCTGTTCGTTTGGCCATTTTTTTGGGAAATCAAAGAATAGGAAACCTATTTCCTATAATATTTGTTTTGAGGTTGTTTGGTTGGTTTAAAAAAGAAAGAAATTGTAGAATAGGAGATAAGATGAGATGAGTTGTCAACTTATTATTGGATGATGTGAGTGATTTTAAAAAAAAAATTGTTTTGAGGTTGTTTGGTTGGTTAAAAAAATAAGGAAATGAATTGGAGGTATATTATTGGATGATGTTTTGAGGTTGTTTGTGTTTGGTTCGTTTTTAAAAATAGGAAAATAGATGAGATGAGATGAGTTGGAGGTATATTATTGGATGATGTGACACGTACTTAAGGAAACCAATTTCTTGTTTTTTTTTTGAGGAAATGGATGGAAAGGAATGTTTAATGAGATGAGATGAGTTGTCACAATATTATTGGATGATGTGTGTGATTTTTAAAAATAGGATAAGATGAGTTGTGATGAGTTGGATGATGTGACACATTTCTTGTGTTTGGTTTATTTTTAAATGTAAGAAAGGAGATGAAATGAGATGAGTTGGAAGATAAAAATAATATTTTATTAGATGTTGTGGGTGAGTTTTAGGGATGGAAATGGGTAAAAATATTATTTTATTGATTTCCTTGTACCGATTTCCTTTTCTTGATTTTTAGGAAACCAACCAAACGGGCCCTTAATAGCAACTAAAATGCCGGAAATAGAAATATCGTCGTTAATGTACGGAATTTGGGGGCTTATGCAAATATTAAGATCGTTGTGGGAACAAATTTTCAAAACAGCTCCAAACAGATTTTAATTTTTCAAAATGGATCCGATTTTTTTTTATTTATCAAAATCGACCCACTTTTTTGCCGCGTAGACTTAGGGGGTGTTTGTTTCAAATCCCAAAATTTATGGATATGGATTTCACCATAGAATTTGAAATCCATAAATTTTTTTGTGGGTTTTTGGGATCTCTAAAATTTTGTTTGTTTCATCAATATTTTGGGATTTGGAATACCAAAATTTGTAATATTATGTTTGTTTCATCAATATTTTGGGATTTGGAATACTATAATATGTAATATTTTGTTTGTTTCATCAATATTTTGGGATTTGGAATACTATTAAATTTTATTTATTATAAAATTATCATATAATATATATATATATATAATATTATACTATATATATATTAGTATATATATATATATCACCCTATTAACTATATATATTATATATATATATATATACTATATATATATATATATATATATATATATATATATTATACATATATATAATATAATATATATAGTAATATATATAATATATAGTAATATATATATATATAATAATATATATATATATATATAGGTATATATATATAGTATATACTGACTATATATATATATAGTATATATATATATAATATAATATCAAATATATTATAATTATGTAATATTTATGCTACATTAATTTACCTGTAGCATGAACAGGATACATGATATATAATATATATAAGAAATAATATATATATTATAATATAATATGGGGATGATATATTAGGATATAGATTATTATATATATAGATGATTATAATATTATATTATAAATTATTCTATATTATATATACTATATAACTATTTATTATTTATTATATATAATATAATATATTATTTATATATATTATATTATATAAAATTGAATATATTATATATATATCTTATATTATATACATAATATTATTACATATTATAAATAATATTTATTAATATATGTATATATAAATATATATGTAATATATATATTATATAATATTATATATATATAATGCTACAGTAATTTACTGCAGCATTTACTATAGCATGAACAGTGATTCTTGGGTCCTCCTATTATTATAGAGGAATAGATGTATTATATTAAATATTATATTATTATAATATTATATATAATATATTAATCTTATATTATTAGCATTAATACATCAATATCCAACCTACATCCTCTCTCAATTGTAGAATTTCACAAATTCTAAAATATAATAGTTTTTTATTATTTGGGGATTCAATATCCCAAAATTGGTTGTGAAACAAACATGGTTTATGGAATTCTAAAACCCAAAAACCTTGTAATCCACCTTATATCCCAAAAAAAGGACAAAACAAAAGAGAGGATTTCACAAATCCTAAAAATATATTATTTGTTTATAATTTAGGGATTCAATATGCCAAAATTAATTTTGAAACAAACAAATTTTATGGAATCCCAAAACTCAAAAAGAGCACTTTTTACATCCCAAAACTTGAAATCCATCCTATATCCCAAAAAAAAAACAAAACAAACACCCCATTAATGAAGTTCCTAAACAGTCGGGGTTGGCAACCCCGACTGTTTAAGAGGGTGTTAAACCCCAATTAAAACCTTTAAATCCGAAATTTTTATGTTTAACCCTGACTGTTTAGGAACGTCATTAAGCTCACGTGGTAAAAAGTGGATCGATTTTGATAAATAAAAAAAACGGATTGATTTTGAAAAATAAAAATCTTTTTAGGACTGTTTTGAAAAATTCCTCATTGTTGAGGGGTCGATAACAGGTCGAAGGAGAGTAGGCCAGGTGGTGGTGGGTGATAGCGGGGTGCACATTGCGAGGTAATTTGTTTATAAATATTTTTAGTTGCAAACCCATAGTTTTGCCTGAGTTATTACTGATCCCACGTAGCCTTTAAAATCAACTACTAGGGTTGTTTGCTTCTTAGCTTGCGTCTAGGAATTTATTTCAGTACGAATCTCAAAAAACTCATACTCAAAATATTATTTGATAGCAAAAGGTTTTTAAAGAGAATTTGCACTAAAATATAAATTCTTTTTTATTTGATTGCACATGCAAACACTAATTCTCACAAAGTCGCTAAAGTAAAGGCAAATGTTTCGAACTGCATTTTAGGGACTGTTTGGTTAGAATTTTTTCTATTAAAAATCTATCAAAGTGTCACTTTTTGGCAGGCTTTCAATTCAAATCACCTCTAAAAAAGATGATTTTGGCTGAAAGCCTGTCAAAAAATGATATTTGACATTTTTAGCAGGTTTTCAAGAGAAACTTTCCCTTAAAAACAGGGAACCAAACAGCCCTTTAATTCATCGACACAAACCCCCAAATCTCTAAAATGAAATTGTCACAAAGTAGCGTTTTTTTTTTAAATCAAAAATTTCCTAACTTCCTAGTCCATTCAAATGCAAAGAAATAAGTCTCTTGCCAAGCGCATGAAAAACTCTTAACTTAAATTATCTTGATATACTATTCCATCCCTTTTAAATATAGGGGCTGTTTGGTTCGCTATTATAAGGGGTGGAAAACTTAGAAAACCCATCCACGTCAGATTTTTAGCCCTCCACGTCAGATTTTTTGTTTCCGTCCATTTTTTTGTGCCGCTTTGGTTCGCTCGGATGGAAGAGGGGAAACTTTGCTGAAATCGTCGTCACCTCAGATTTTTTTCCCTCTCCGATTTCCTTCCCCAACCGAGTAAAATTAATGAAAACTCTGCCACGTCAGCTTTTTTTTTCCTTATCTACTTTGTTTACAAAAGTTTTCTTTTTTTTTCTATGCGAACCTAACACAAGAAAAATAAATACATTGGTTTCTCACCATTTTTTATGTGCGAACCAAAGCTAAACAATCTATTTTTTGGAAAAGTTTGTAAAACTCAAAACTTGTATTTTTTTACATGGAATTGCATTTCCCTATATCAAGGAAACGAACCAAACAGCCCCTATATAACAAATTAGATCTAGATTATAACTACCAAAATACAGCAATCAATGAGAAATAAGAACTTTTATGCATAACTCGGGTTGAACTTATTGTAGGCGCGATACGGAGGAAATAGGTGGGTCTAAAAATAATTCGATATTGAGATATGAGATTTAAAATGAGAGATGGAACGTGGTGGATTGCGGAATAAATTAGACTCAAACGTTGGGTTTAGGAACAATACTTGGGTGCCACGTAGGCGAGGATGGATACACCCGTGCAGAGGGCGCGTGCTTAGATTCAAGGGTTTGTTCGTAGCGAAAGGGACAGGACAGGGGCTGGCTGTGTATCCATCGGAGGGATTCGGTGAGTAAAATACTAAATACTTGCTCAAATACTGCGTCTTTTTGCCGCGTATATTGACTTGAAAAATAAAATTTGAGATATTTTTGCGGGTGATCAATGTGGTCCATGTGGAGAGAGGAGAACCGTCAGATTGAGCCGTTTGTTTAGCTTTGGATGGAAGGTTGGGATTCACTAACGAATGTGTATACGTTTCTGTAGCTAGCTAAGTTTCCGGGCTTTTCTGCAGATATACCTCTCAAAGTATCCATATTTGCAAATTTGTCCCCTCATTGCTCCCAGAAATCACACACTTGATCTTTCTAGGCCTCCAACATAACAATATTTATTTTTAAAAAAGGCAATGTCAAAATTTTACGATATTTTCCTACGGGTTCGCAACAATTTGTTATTTGAAGACTAAATTTGCTAAGCGGGAGGGGTATAGAAGATCAATAAGAGATAATTGTAGACGCGATAATTATGCAAGTACCAAAATTTTAGGATAAGATTGCAAATATAAAAAAACCTTGAGAGGCATATAAGCAAGAACCCCTGAAGTATTTCCAAATACTTTTAGACAGATGCAAAGTTTTTGCCTTTGTTAGGCTTTTAGCCCTCCTCTCTTCCACCATACCAATTAAGCACTATATTTGTTTTTTTTTTATCTAAAACATTATAATATTATATAGCACAAGATACATTCAAAATTTTGAAATAAAGATTTAGTTATTATTGTATCTTGTATGTGACTTCGTTAATTTGACAT